GGGCGATTGCAGCGGATCTTATTTCGGTCGAGCAAACGACGATAGCAACGGACATTTCCCGACTTTCTTAGGCTTTTGTTGTGAATTCTATACCACTCGCGTCCAAGGCATCAGAGTCCCATGTCTGAGTCTTTGGCGCCTTGGCCCGCATCTTTTGGCCGTCCTGCAAGCGGTGGACGACATCAAAGTCGTCTTTGATGGAGTTGAACGGAGCATCGCGACGCGTTGGAACTGAGCTTCTCGGTCGACGGCATCATAAGGTAAACAAGGTAGGAAGTGCTGGCCTCCTTCCCCGTTTGCAAGGTGGTCCGAATCCTCCATAATATCTCCCGTGCCCTACCTAGTTTGGCCCGTTTTCGACTTTTTTCAAGCAGCTCAACATAGACTCTGCTTCGGATTCTTCTTCTTCTTATCTTCTTTTCGTCCCCCATTCTTTCTTTCCTTCCTTCTCTACTTCTTTTCGCTCCTGCAGCATGGAATCGAGCCTTGTCTATTCTGCTTCCGAAAAATCATACTCGCCACAGGGCTCCCGAGGCTTTACTCGCAATACGACGCCTGAATCCGAGGCTTCATCGGAACCAAACGGTATTCCTAACGCGCAGATCAGCGACAGAAAGATGGAAAGCTCCCGAGTCGTCTTCTTCGATTCCCAGAACCAGCCTCAACCATTTTATCCTCCCGAATTCCCTCAGTCTGGGTCTGGGCAGACATCGATGAGACACAGCCTCGCAAACGCTCCCCGCAGTGTCGATGCCCCGAACTGGCGCATGGGTATGGGAGGCGGTCCGGGCCACAGGCACTACAGCTCATTCAGCTCGTCGGCCAGCGGCACCGAGTACATGATCATGGGATCACAAGTGCAAGATTGTCAGGCTTCAAGCATGGCAAGAAACACGAACATCGACACTTCGGGCTTTCACGGCTACTGTCTGGATCGTGGAAACGGCAACTATACCAGGTTGATTCCTGCCGACTCGCTTCCACCTTTAGTCGGTATACCAGCCATCCAGAATGGTGCTGAAGGTCTGCTTGTTCTCCCACAGCCTCGAGGCGTGGACGCTCAGAACTTGGCTAGCAGCCCTGTTCAGCCTGTTGCTTTCAGAGTATGTTTGCTTCCTTCTTTTCTTCTCCACTCCTTGTCAGGCACCAAAGTGTTGGCGCTGAACCTTTCAGTCACCTCCGTCTTCGCCAGCACCGGTATCTGATGCCCTTCAGGTATGCTCACTTGTTTCTTTGAAGTCATTGTTCTTCATATTATTTTACATACATACTCCATGGATTACTTGGTTTACTGACAAAAGTTTGTGAATTTGTAGCGTAGAATTGATCAGATCGTTGCCACCTCCCCCAACTCGCCAAAGAAGCCCAAGATCTACTGTGACAAGTGGGTTCACGAGGGCGTCTGCGCATTCACCCAACAAGGTTGCAAGTACAAGCATGAGATGCCCCTCGATAAGGCGACGCAACACTCACTCGGTCTTTTCCATGGGTTGCCGGCGTGGTGGAAGAAGCAGCAGACTGAAATTCGGCAACAGCAGCAGCAGCAGCCTCAGCAGCCTCAGGGCAGCGGAACCGAGGTCTACTTTGACCTTCGTCAGCAATCTCAAAGTGGCTTGAGTTCGCCCATGATTGGCGACAGGGCTCTTGCTAGCTCGACGAGAGCGACGCCGTCGTGGCGGAGAGGCGAGGGTGGCAGGAACCAGGGACAGATGAGCGCAGGATCACTGGCGAGACCCGGTGCAGGATACAGAAACTCTCCTGGTAAGTCTTCTATTGTCAGCCTCTCTACGGAAATAAAGCTCATATAAACAACAGACTCGAGACCTACGTACCAGCAGAGTATGGATTCGCCTACCTCCTCTTGTGTCTGGGGCCCGATCGGACCGCCTTCGAAGCAGACGCCCGACCCAAATCCGCATTCCCATCAGAATATGAGTGCCTTCGCCACTTCCAACAACTTTGCTCTGCTGAGCTCTCTTGACGCGAATACGGGTGAGATGGACAATGGCCGCAGATATGAGTCCTACTAGAGCTAATAGCTTGACATCAACTTGTTGGATGGGATATGGCAAGGTTGGAATGATGAGACATGAGGCATGACAGAGTTGTGGGTATTGTCACGGTATCGCTTTTATTTTGTTTCCTGGCTTGAAAACTGTATGTATTATAGAAGACGCGGACCAACAATGGGGGAGTCGCGAGCGAATAACTGATCGAAAAACCGCCTCCTTTCGCGAAGTGTGACCCAAACTCATCATCCACAATGCTTTCATCTGACCATGGCAAGCTTTTACAGCCAGGTAAGGCTCCAGGTCTCCTTACCAGCGCGGAACGGCACAACCTGGATCCCTTTACCCTCGAACGTCTGCTGGACGACGGCGCCGCCATCGCGGGTGAGACGGATACGCTCCTTCCTGGTGTCCTCGGTGCCGTAGAACTTGCGGCCGTAGCCGCTGACGAAGCCCTCGAGGGCCTCCTGGGTGATGTCGGCGTCGGCGAGCTCGCCGCGGGTGACGGCCTCGTCGAGGGCGGCGAGGAGGTACTGGACGGCGTAGGGCTGGGTGAAGACGCCGGCGGCGGCCTTGGAGGGCCCCGTCTTTGCGGTGATGGGGTGCGGGGCGGAGTCGGTGCCAAGGAAGAACTTGCCGTTGCTGTTGACTACGGCGTTGAGGAGGGCCTTGCGGTCGGCGGGGAGCTGGTGGGCGTTTGTTAGCTTTGCTTTGGAAGAAGATAATGGATGTTTGTGTTGGAAAACTTGCCTTGGCGACGGGCTTGCAGAAGTTGAGCTACGTCACAAGTGTCAGTCTTTGGAAAGTCAGGGGTTGAAAGATCTCTCATCTCATACCGCGTCACCGACGACGTCGTCGATAGTGATGAAGAGGTGGTGGCTATTAACATGGTCAGGACTGTGTTATTCTTGAATTAGGTTTGGGGTACATACCAAGTGATGGTGCCGGCGACGTTGGGGCCACTTGTAACTAGTCAACCAAAAGAAAATTGTGACTTTTTGACGGCATCGTCACTTACCATGACTTGACGGCTGCAACAGCCTCAGCGGTTGTGCAATGCTCGAGAACTGTAACGTCAATTGGCCAAGTTCTGCCTCGTTAGACAGAGATGGCTGTACTCACTGATTCTGAGCTTGGGGTACTTGGCGTGAAGTGCCTTCAGGGTGGGGAGAAACTGGGATTCTGAATGTCAGCAGACAGACGCACACCTGGATAAAAGTCTGCAGAGTAATCACCTTGGACTCGGCGTTGAGCGTAGTGATGTCGCTACCAGCGTGGGAAGGGCACTCTCCGTGGAGGCAGAGAAGCAAGTCGACTTCCTCCATGGCCTTGAAGACCTCGTGGAAGGCATCGTAGTCGACGACGCCATCGGCGCTGTTCGTGGTAACGCCGGCAGGGTAACTAGTTGCAGCGTCTCGAGTCAATGACCCAAAACATGTTGCTAATGTACAATTCAAGGCGCCTGATAGAACACACACCTCTTGACGGCGGCGACACCAGCCTTCTTGGCCTCTCTAATGGTATCGGGCGTGACGTCCTGGTGAAGGTAGAGAGTCATGAGCAGGTCGACCTCGTCCTTGCCCAGGGCCGCCTTAATGCGCGATGAGTAGTCCAGAGCCCGCTTGACGCTCGTTACCAGGTTGTTTTGCAGGTTAGGCATGATGAGTGCCTTTACAGCTGTGTTAGTAGACGGCTCTAGTTGACGATTGCAACTTGCGGAGGGCGTACCTGGTTGACTCCTCCAGGACGAACAGTCGGAGCGACGATCTAGAATCGTTTTAGTATTCGTAGTATGCCCTTCAGTGGTGGCATGAGTTCCATGACCGCGTACCTGGAGCATGTCATCGTCACGCAAGTGGACATGGGCGTCAAAGGCCGCGGGCAACTCGACGGTATCAGGGAGAGGCATCTTGAATGGCGAGTGGACCGATAAATTGGGTGTCACGGCTTCTATAAAATATCAGACCGAGTCACTTGATAATGTAAGGACTTGGATTCTTACCTGGTGATCTCTGTTCGCAGGAATGGTTCAATATTGGTTTTCCGCCGATGTCGCTGAGTAGTTGATTCGGGTCCTCAATCTCGTCTCGAAATGTTTTTTCGTTGGAGTTCATGGTGGGGGCGGGGTAAATGACTAGGTTCCCCAAAGACTCGAAACCATCTATTAATTGACTTCCTCACTGACCTTACCTACTTACCTACCTTACTTACCGTGAATGAAACGCACATCACTGGGCGCTGATTGCCAATGACACTCAACTTGAGGCGTTGAAACCCTTGAAGAGACTTTATGATAATATTCAACCTTGCAATCTTACAACCATTTGCTTCAACGCAAGCATAAGAATAAAGCACGGCCTCGTAGCCGTTGAGTCCAACTTAACCACTTAAAACAAATATTTCCATCCAGCGTTGTATCCATACAGGCTGAGCTGCTTGATTTCTCTCCAATTTGTATACTTACGCTTACTTCTTGCCGTCTCTGTACCTTATGTTATCCTTCTTGTCACCCTTGTTGCATTTGGCTGTATGCCATTTCTACAAGGTCATTTGATCCTGTCGCTTCTCCTCTACTCGGGTCTCCAGTCGTTTTACTATTACTAGGCTTGCCTGGCCTCCCTGTACGATGATGACATTTAGTAAAGGGAAGAATGGGAAGATCCAGAGTTGTATGAAGTCAGGTAATTTGAGGTCTGTCTCTTTCTACGATGATCTACTACCCAGGACCTTGTCGGGATGGAGGGGTAGGTATTCCTGCCCCACTAGCCAGCCAACCCAGGACCTTACGGAGTGCATTGCTACAGGCATGATTGGGGCTTCACCTTGACTCACCGATGGCCAGGCAGGCACGAGATGTAATCGGTATCTAATGAGCCGAAGATTAAGCGAGGTGCACTTGCGTACCAGGCACGGACCATTATCCCCCACAATGGATCAATGGTATCCGTACAGCCTACCTATGCTGGTACCTACTAGGTAATCTTGAGCTTCATCATCACCAAGAAGCTTCTCAGGATCACGCTGGGTTGCGACTTGGCTTTGTGAACCTCTAACAACCTCTATACAAACCACCGTTTCCCGAGATTACCCCTCGCCGAACTTGAGAAACCTCATTCCAACACAAGCTTCGCACACCCGTTTTTCCGCAACTGTCGCCACTGCTGTAACAGCCGGTTGTTGGAGCTCGAGCTTTCTAGGTTGGCAAAGTGCCCAAATCGTCGGCAAGATGGAAGACACACTTTTCTACTTCGAGCGCGAGAAGTACAAGACCGACGAAGTCTACGACAAGACCATTAGAAATCACATTCTGAAGATCACTCGTCTATTCAAGGACGATGCGCCGGCCATCATAGCCAAAGCGCCGCAATTGCTCGAGGTCTGTTGGTCCCCCCACCTTTGGCTGTCTGTTGCTGCTAACCACCATGCCACAGATCGTTCACCCCAGCGACCACTCGATTTCCTACCTCGCGATCCTGAACACTCTGAAGCATCTGGACGAAAGCTCTCTACCCCTGCCGATCGATACCTTTCGAGAACATATCGCTCGCTTCTTGTTGTCGTTCGACGCCCGGCAGATGCGCTATGTTGGTGATGTCTTCTACGACCTGTTGAAAGATGTCGTGGAATGCAAGTTCTTTCAAGTAAGAAATATTCCAAGCTCGATTGATTGCTCTGACTAATCGCATGTTCTCTTGGCAGGCGCGTCAGTCTGTAGAGATCGTTGTCGCCGCATTGAGGCTACTCGATCCCGAATCAGCCGTACTTACGAGCCTCCACCTCGCTGTGGTGAGGCTAGCTTACGAAACGACGAACTACGACGAAGTGCTGCCAATACTCGAGAAGCCATGGGTGTTCCTCCCTGGAATGAAGGACCAGCCTCGTCCAACATACCCTTGCGATTTGACAGCCTCACCTTCCGCCTATATCAGCCCCGCCACACAACTCACGGAGTACTTGACTCGCGAGGGTGTCATGGAGCACGAGTATATCAGTGCCCAAATCTTCACGAAGGAGCTCAAATGGGCGCAGGCTCACAAAGCCTACCAAAGAATCATCACTTGGCCGTCAAGGGAAACCTCTGTGAGCAAGTTGATGACTGACTCCCATAAGCGATGGCTTCTCACAGGTCTCTTGGCTCTCGGCCACACGCCGGTTCTACCTGGACAAATCAGTTCAAGCGCTCAGAAGGCGTTCGCGTCTCTGTCAAAACAATATGCAGATCTCGCGAGCCTCTTTTCAACCACCAATGTTGAGCAGTTCAAGGGCGCAGCCGAGAAAGGCATCGAGACGTGGGCAGCTGATGGAACCACCGAGCTGATCAAAGCGGTTGTGACGGCGTATCAGAAATGGCAGATTCTTGGTCTCGCCGACGTGTATCACAAGATCAGCGTATCGGAGATCCGCCAACAGACACTCAGTGCCGAGACAGCTCGGAACCTCGAGACTGACGAGGAGGTGGAGCAACTCCTGCAGGATATGGTCAGCATCGGAATGCTCCAGGGCTCATTGGAGATCAGCCCTGATGGCGTCAAGTGCCTCACCTTCCTCCCGCGTGACACGGAAATCGAGTACAGCGAGTACCAGAAGAAAATTACAGACGACGCGCGCATCAAGGCGTTGAACAAGTTTGCCGAGGTTAGCGACGTTCGTCTTGCCGCCTCAAAGGACTACGCCAAGCACATCATTCGTGAGCAGAAGCGCCAAGACAAGGACGGCTCTCAGTCGCACAACACCGAGTTCGGCTTCGACGCATCCATCGAGGACGAAGATCTCATGACGGGTATTCAACATCCTTAGTACCTTTACCGGGTGGGCCATCCTTCAAAGATGATCTTTCGATGTCACTGCAGTTCGCGCCAACTTTGACGAGGTAATGAGGGCACGAAGTGAGGGAAGGAGGATAGTAAGATGATTTCTTGCATGAGAAAAAGAGCGAAACGTAGGTAGTGCTGCATGAGATTTGACCTCGGCATACTGGGGGGCATCAGGCCGGCGTTACGAGATCAGGTTCACAAGGGATATTGCTTTGATTGCCAAAAGAGGCATTTGCGACACTATCAGCAGAATTGCGAGGGCCCGGGTTCTCGGGGCTGACTGTGGTAGATTAGGTAGAGAAAGAAGAAACCGCGAAATAGTATTCTCTTCCAACATTAGCACGTTTGCCCGAGAACATTGTTTGGCTGACACCTTATGCTCGTGGTCCTTTGCCTCATAGCTCATCAAATTTTTGATCGCCCCTTCTAGCTACCTCAGGGTTCTTCACGCAGATGCGCGGGCTACCTTTCCATCATTAAAGTACACATACATCGATCTCCCTTCCAAGCATTTCTACGAGCTGATACCAAATTGCTTAATGAGATCCGCAAGCTTAGCTCCCTCGGCCTTGTAGTCGATTTGTCCTGCGCTCAAGACCTGGTAGCGTACCCTGAAAAAGGTTAGTGTTAAAAAAATCAGCCGCGGTCAAGGGGTTATCGTACCTCTGAGCTTCGCCAAAGGTGTCCATCTTCGCACGGCATCGGAAGTTCAACTTGGTGCAATTTGCTTGCTCGAATGCCTGTGCCATCTTCGTTTCATCCTCCTCGCGTAAAGCCATAAGATCGTCTGCCGACATGCCCATGATAACACGACCGACATCATCGAAGCAGCTGAGCCACAGCTGGTTGGTGTGATCGCACACGTTGATAGACATGATGTACCGATATTCGGGCTTCGGGTGGGCAACATCGCACTTCTCGCAACGCCAGGTACCGTCACCCATATCAGTCACTTTCTTGTTGCAGCCCTCGTTGCTACATGCGGGATAAGCAAAGTTCTCCTGCTTGATGTAGACAATGGTTGCCTTGAGGTTGAAGTAATCTTGGTTCTCCATGCCCAAGTTCTCCTCCTTCACCTGGAGAATGGACTTGTCCTGGTCCTTGCGACCAGTGGCATTGCCCATGCTGGCCATGTTATTGTGGCTGCTGAACGTATCATTGCGACCAGATGAGTCATACCAGCCCTTCAGACGGTGAGCATCCGGAATATCCGGGTCAATGGACATCGTGCCGGAAGAAAGCAGGCTGAGACTGCGACCACCAAAGTCAGACACCTTGGTACCCTTGAAGGCCACGACAGACTCAGGCTTGGCGTCAAAGTTAGTAGCGCTCTTGCCCCAGATGGTGACGCGAACTGAGTAATTTGTGTCGTCAACCAATGTGAGCTCACGCTTCTCGTAAGGCTTGCCAGTCGACTTGGAGACGATTTGAGACACCTCAGCGACCTCCTTCAGAACGCCAATGACGTCAACGGTCGCATCCTTCTCGACTTCCTGAAGCTCTTGAATGTTGCAGAAGTTGAACCGCACCTGCGGCACACTGCTCTGATCCTCTGCCTTCTCGATCTGGGTATCGCGCTCGAAAGTGAGCTCGTAATCGTTCGGCAGGTTTGTAAATTGCTTCTTGGCAAGCTGGACTTTGCAAGGGTTGGAGATGTAGTAGACACCTCCCTCCTGAAGCAGATCGTAGTACTGGTCACATTGGTCGTTGAAGCCGGTTGCCTTGATCTCGCCACTCTCGTCAAGCAGGTTGACACTGAACAGCTTGCCCTCGCCACTGGGCTTGTGCCATGTCCGGATGTCTGACTTTTGTGTGACGCGAGCCTTGATGGTCCACTTGTGAGCGTAGGGAGAGAGGGCTTCGATAGGGTAGATGTTATTGCTTCCATGCTGGCCGGTGGCACCTCCAGCAGAGCGCGTGGGTATCGATTGGGGCTTTGGTGTGGGCTTGGTCTCCTCTTGCTTGACACCGTAGAAGTTCTGTCCGCCGATGGTCGTGTTTGCTGCTGCAGGGGGCTTCGCTTCGAAGGCTTGAGGCTCGCCGAGCTTGTCTGGTGTGCCGAACTGCTCGACAACCTCGAGGCCGAGGATAATCAGAATGCTGTTCAGAGGTTAGGTCGCTTTTCTCGAAAAAGTCAACAAGGAGAGGCAAAAAGGCACGTACTTCTTCCCCTTCACGGAGTTCGCTTGGTACTGAGTAATCCGCACGATGCAGTTTCTGACCAGCTTGTTGTCGTGGACAACGTGGTTGACCTGCGTAGCCAACATGCACTGAACATAGTTGCTCACATCGCTGAGAACAATCCGGTATCTCTCCGCGTTGCCTCCGGCTTGTGCGGCCAAAGGTTTGATCTGCAGGCACTGGAGAACCGGGACCGGGAATTTCGTGTTGGCACCTTCGGGGTCATTGAAGATGGCGCTGCATCCGCTCAGTTAGTACGGAAAGGGTGAGAAGGGCAGTAAATCATAGAATAACTCACTCCAAGGCTCCCTTGGTAATCTTTGATTCGACGTCCATCTTGAGGTTTGGCGAAGATGAAGTACCGTATGCAAGTTTGTTGGTTGAGAATGGTGAGGATTTGGGGGTTGAGGCAAGTTCTTCGCGAAATGGGGGAGGAAAGCGCGTCGACGCGTTTAATGGCTTTTGGCGGGGTTCTTACCTTCCGTTAGGTAAGCTGGTAATTAACGAGTCCCTGCTGTTTCTCACATGCCCGGTGGTGGCCAGTTGCCTGTCGTGCCTGCCTGGTGTCGTCTGGATCCAGTGTGGGGAAAGATGGTAGCTCGGTACGTACCTATATTTAGGTGGCAGCGACTTCACGCGGGGCAGCTACAAGCATCAAGCTGAGACGTCATCCCTGATGGTGTTACGAGCTATGTACACGTACCTCTCAGTCCAGACTTGATCCAAACGTTGCGCCAAGGGATACAGACTTCTACTTTGACAGTGCATCCTGCATTTCTGTAAGCCTACACAAACATCGCAACATCTGGTACTACTTTCGACTTCAGAACCGTTTGCCTCGTACTGCAGTGCTCCGCACCGATACCCATAACCCCGCTCAACAAGATGACCCAGATCGAGCCTGATATTGCGACGAAAGCTCCCGAGAGCGACGCCGCCGAGACAATCACTGTCACCGAACCCGTCACCGAGAGCACCTCTGCTGCTGACACTCCGGCTCAATCCACCAGCCCTACGACGACTACGGGAGGCGCTGGAGAGCACAGCGAACACTGCGTGTCCGACAGACCAACTCGTGAGCTCCATGCTGAGCCTATGCAGTCATTTGCGCAAGACTGACTCGAAACAGCGTCCGGCCAATCCTCAACGGGAGAGATAATCAAGATCAACGATGTCGAGGTGAGTAGATTACCTGTCATGCAACTACGGGCACATCGTGACCACGGCCAACGACTAACCCATGCAAGGTCTACATCTCGAAACCCGCCGACTACCCTCATGCGCCAGCCAGGCTTCTCCTCCTCCTGACGGGAGGCACGGGTCTCAAGTCCACAAATAACCAGCTTCAAGCCGATAAATTTGCCAGTGAGGGCTACGTAGTGGTCATGCCCGATCTCTTCAACGGTGACGCGGCGCCCAATTCGTCGACCATCGATAGCAGCGAGGACACCGGATCGTTCCTGGACACTTTCAAGATGAAGATCGTCGAGACGGCCAAGAGCTTCCAAATTGATATGTGGCTGGCGCGACACACAGAGGAGAAGGTGCTGCCGATCCTCTACAAGGTCATTGAAGGCTCGAAGGAGAAGTTCGCCGATGCGGTGAAGAACGGCGACGGCATCTACGCTGTCGGCTACTGCATTGGAGGACGCTATATCCTTCACTTGGGCTCAGACAAGAAGGTCGCGACAGGAGGTCAAGGACTTGCTGATGCCGAGGCTGGCGAATTGAAGACTGGTCCTTTCATCAAGGTCGGCGCGATAGCACACGGTGCTTCTGTCACCCCTGATGACTTCACGGGCGTCAAAGTCCCCATATCTCTCGTCTGCGTCGAGAATGATCCTCTGTTCCCTGAGGAGGTCAGAACACATGGCGAGGACGTCATGTCAAAGGCAAACCTCGAACACGAAGTCCAAGTGTACCCTGGCGTGCCGCATGGTAAGGCCCAACAGTCTGCCCTCACCTTATAAGGCTTTGATCGAATGCTAACCTTCACCACTAGGTTTCGCTGTTGTTGGCGAATATCAGGACGCAGCCATTAAGGATGCTCAGACCACAGCTTACGACCAAATGCTGAAGTGGATCAAGGAACACTGAGAATAGGGGAAACCGTCCTCGTATGCTTTTTATGGCCTTTGCTTCTGTTATGGTCGCTCATCTCGTGGCTTTTGATGATATCAGTGCTTTATAGGAACTTTCTTACGGCCCAAGGGGATATTATTATATCAATACTACAAGTTTCCCGACAAATTCCTCTCCAGGTGCCGATGACATTACATCAAGTCTTTTCTTGCTGTCTCCGCATCGCTTGTAAAGCTCGAATTCCTCCTCCCGGAGTTGATGGCAGTGGTAGAACTGTAACTGCACTCATCTATTGGCACTGATTTAGCGCCCGAAGAGTTCACTGCCACCCGCATCTCGAGCGAATGGTCTTGGAAGACTCGCTGGGACCCCGAATTCGTTCCATGCGTCCTGTTCGTGAGATTTGCCGATGCATCCTTGATTTGCCGACCAGTCTCACGCACAATCTGTCTTGCATTGGGCATGCAGGCAACCACTACGCCAGTGCAGATCTCAATGGCAGACCATATCGTTGTCCCACGCGCATCAGCTGTCGCATTTGCGGATGTCGCGAATGAAATCAGGCTGCGAAGGCGGACAACACTGACTACCGTGAGGCTGAATTCTGGTCAGCGTCCTCAAGCTCAGTGACTGAAGAAATCCGGGAGCCCACTCACAAGATACCAACACTGAACATAGCAATGATTCCGAGCTTCTTTTTCATCTTGAGGTTCAACTTGTAGAGCTGTGTCAACGGCAGAATGAGCATCCAGACATCGAGCGCGATGTTCATGCCGCCATGTGACAAGCCCATTTTGTTGAGGTCGAGAATGACACCACGAGGTTCCTTGTCACGCCAGCCCTCCCAGATGAGCCATGTAGGCTGTCTCTGGACGAAGCTGAAGACGATGAATATGAATCCGACGAAGAGGTCGTAGGCTAGCGTCCACCAGACTGCGATCCTGAATTTCTTGTCCGGAAAGATGCGGAGGAAGAACAGGAGAATAGATGCCTTTACGATGGAGAGGATGAAGACGTAGAGTGTTTGGACCATTAAGAGGTACTGCAAATGGTTAGCTCATGTTTGAAGAAGCCCTCTGTAGTGGAATCGGTCGATCTCAATAGTACTCACCCTGAGAAAGGTAGTAATCTGATAGTCGTGGAGAACCCAGATATCAAGTCCCAGACCTTGTGGTATCACTGCAGAGCTGTATTAGCCATAGTTTCCTCAGTAGCTTCTTTGGAGAGTTGACTTACTAAACTGAATCAAAACTATGAACGGGATCAAGGCGGCCTACCCCGACAAATTAGCCAGCGTCAAAAAGAAGCCTGTAGGCTATTCGTAAATAGGGTATACCCACAAATGCAACTACCATCAAACTATCGTCAGCTCCCCAAGGAGAGTACCTCATGGCTTTGACTGTAATTCGGCATGCGAAGAAGGCTGACGCAAGTATGAACATGCCAAGACTAGTCGCTCTCGACTCGTTGCGATAGTCTGACAGAGGGAATCCACATGCAGTTCTTGTGATATTGACAAAGGCTGTAAGTGTCAGACTCTGTTAGAAAATTCGGACTTCTTGTAATAAGGTGAGTAGAGAATAGCAATGCACTCACTCAGGGACTCGACCACGCTACATCCTTGTTGCACGCAACCCCCGACAAAATTGTTGAAGCCTTCGTCGACACATAATTCCGCCTGCGACTGGTTGGCAAATGCAGGCTGGCTCATTGCCTGAAAAAGACACTTCGTCTAAACTCAGTCGTTAGCTTCCTCGACAATCGGACATTGTAAACCTTAATCCTCGACTAAGAAGACTGGGACGATGTGACCACTTACAGAACACTGTGGAGCATCAGCCAACGACTGCGCGCCAGCGAGCCTCAAGAGGCACGACGCTCCAACGGCGACGATGAATCGCAGAGTCAACATAGCGGAACTTGTCTGACAGCGAACATTCACACACAAACACGAAAGCCGCAAAGAATGACCGAAAAAGGAGAGGGAGAGGCCGGTGGGAGCGGACGTAAGAGAGGGAGGGCCTCTAAGTCAAGTTATTACCTACCCTTTCTTGTTGTGCTTGATGACGGAATCGGTACCCAGGGGGCCTAGCCCAGCGCCCATCTCCAAGTTGCGATTTGCGAGGCGACTTCAGAGGCTCAGAGACGAGTACGCCAAAAACGGCGTTGGTATGGCTTTCCCCCTCTTCTTTGAACTATTGATCCTGTCTGATGTTCCCCCCTGCCTTGGGCGTACGTTAGCGGCGCAGAGCTTGTCGCCATCGTCTGCCCCCAATCGTTTCACAGTTTCAGCCTGGCACCTGGGTAGAGAAGGCGATTCTGTAGAAATTCCAAAGCTTCTGACGACAGGTACAATCTTGTGAAAACCAGCCCATGCCAGCTTGATGAGGCTGTACTTCAAAGGAAGAGAGCAGCCAGCTCTCGCCACGGCTTGGAATGTCTTAGGAAATTGCGTTGCGCCCGCAACCAGTTAGGATCCCGCTAAAGATTGAGAGAAAAGAAACCATCAACCAGAAAGCGTGATAGCGTAAAGGAGTACACTCCAGCCCGCCCGCGGATCCTCTTCCGGACTACTGGTCAAAAGCCAAGTTCGCCGCGAGCAGTCAGCCTCCTTTGAACTCTAATCACCCCGTTCCCACCCCAGATCGCTCTCGCCCAATGCCAAGCTCTCCCAGCTTTCCCCAAGAGCCCACAAGTGAGAACGGCTGGGTTCGGGGGCTTGCAATAGCCGGTAGAAGATGAGCAGAAAAAAAGGAGGACATTCCTCCAATGAGCGGGGGATGCTCGTCACTGGCACACTGCCCATGGACGGGCACTTATCCGCGCCATGGTCAACTGGAATGCGATAAACCCAGTCAGCCACGGATGGCGGAATCGGGTGAGGTCTTCTTTGTTCTGAAGTTACCCGAGATGACCGATATACAGGGCGTTTCGGGGCCTTGAGAGCCCCCGGTATGCCGTGGCCTCCTCGGTCCGTAGACAATGGTCCAGGAGACTCCCGAACAGTAGAAATCAATAACACCAACGCAATACGCAGATGGAAATGGCGAAATCCCATGACGGGGAACCGCAGAGTTGTTTGAGTAGGCACCCTTTAGCCTGGCATCACCTATGCGGACCAGTTGATATTAGAGCTTGAAAGTCTCGAACCAAGTTCGACCAGTGATCTGCAACACGCCCTCTACGAAATGGTACAGATGATCTTTCCCGAGTTCTTGTTCGCCTCCAAGTGCGCATGAGCCTCCTGTATCTTCTCCCACGGAAGCACCGTATCAATCACGACCTTGAGCTTCCCCGTCTTGAAATGCGGCACATACTCCTCCAATCGATCCCTCAACTTACCCTGATACTCCACGTCCCTGCTCCGCAACGTGCTGCCCTCAAGCCTGATGCGCTTGTACAGCAGAGGCCCAATGTTGGCCCCCTCGATGTTGGGCCCGCCCAGCAGGCCGAGCAGGACGATGCGCGCGTCTCGCGCCGCGACGTCGAGGTTCTTTTGGAAGTAGCCGCCCCCGACAAAGTCGACAATCACGTCCACGCCCTTGCCGCCCGTCACCTCCTTGATCTTCTCGGCCCAGTCGACCTCCTTATAGTTGAAGGCCGCCGTGGCACCGACTTTGTTGACCACAAAGTCGCACTTCTCGTTGGACCCGGCCGTCGCGTAGACGGCGGACGCACCCGCGTCCTTGGCCAGCTGGATGCCCGCGATGGAGACGCCAGAGGCGCCGGCGTGCCAGAGGACGGATTTGCCCTTTGAGAACTCGCCTACGAGGAACAGGGCTTGCGTGGCGGTGATCCAGGTCTAGTGTACACTCATGGTCAGCATTTCACAACTGCCGACATCGGTGGTGCAAAAAGATGACGGTGAAACCATGTAGGCTTTCAGTTTTTTTCTTACCTCTGGAACGCCAGCGGCCTGCTCCCAGGACAGGAAATCCGGCTTGTGCAGCAGCATCTTGCTGTTGACGGCAATGTACTCGGCGTATGCGCCACCGTACGCGAGGCCAAAGACCTCATCTCCAGTCTTGAAATTGCCGTGGTCGCCCGAGCCAAAGGATTCAATAGTCCCGCTGAACTCGACTCCTAGGGTCTTGGGCGCCTGGGGCGGGAGCGGGTAATTGCCAAGACGTTGGATCTGGTCCATGCGGTTGATGCCGAAGGCCTTGATCTTGACCAGAGCCTCGCCCTCGCCAGCCGTGGGCTTTGGCGTGTCGGCATTGATGAAGAGGTTCTCCTTGGGACCTTTGCCGTCCTTGATGTCTGTAGTTTTTTGTATTTGTAAGCCATTTGTCTGTTACGTACGGTGAAAGGCATGTTCGACTCACCAACTGCTCTCATTGTTGAGGCCATTTTGATAAAGTTTTCTTATCCTGATTTCAACCTTGCCAATCTGCACTTGAGAAGTTAACTTGAAAAGAATGAAAGAGATTTGTCAGTAGCTCGAGAAGATGAAGTCTCACCGAGGTCCCCGTTCGGTTCCCCTCAATGACGTGCATCCGGGCCCACTGACTAATCCACTCGGGCGCCCCCGTGCCGCTCCGTAGCCGGCTCCAATATTCCCGTGCCGTGTCCGCATGTTTTCCAACCACAGCTCCGGGAAACGCTATTGTAGTCTCGATTCAATTTTTTTGGCCGTTAAGTTCATGTTCATCATCTTACGCAGGCTGGAATATGCCCAAATTGGAAGGACTGAGACTACCATGTTTGAACGACGAGCTTACAGGCTTAGTTCAGTATCATCTCTAGTCAATTTCCCTACTGAAATGGTGGTTTCGATGAAGTGAACGCGTGAGTCACTGTGTTCCGAAAGTCTCTCAAGAAACGCAAGCTAGATTGGACCTGCAATATCCTGAGTTACGCATTTCTGGGGTATTCTATCGGTCTTCCGCAGGATCTCAAGGGTAAGTTAGTCTGTTGCCATTTTTCCTACCCTGTTGACTTCCTCGACTTACCACATTGATATTTCAAGACGTCCCAGCCCCAGAGATCTGAAATACTCATGGAGTTCTCAGGGGCAGCTGCAGCTCGTCGAGACATACATCCAACGTATCTCCCTAGGATTGCCTCCAACTCCTCGGTACCGAAAGACTGCGGGAAGAGGAGTGGGATTGATATAAATCCCGTTCGTGGTTCTGACTATCAGTCATCCATGTTTCTCACTTGATATTGTATCCCCTGAAGCCAAAATGACTATCGATCATGAGATTGAGGCGCCTTTATAATGGCGACATCAAATGACGGTGAGCTAGTATCGTGGTGCATGGCCTCGTAAGATACCCAGCAAGATGGCGCCGGCAGCTAACGATTTTGCATAGTCGGAAGCAAACTTGTCGAGGGCCGGGAAGCTCATAAGGCGATTCCAAACTAGACCAACCACCGCAAAGGACAAGCGAGAACACTCTTCCTCGCCGTCCGCTCAGTCCTTTCAACATCTTTTGTTTTCCAAGTCGTGCAAGACTTGTGAAGCTTCATGAAAGAGGAATACTCGGCAGCGGGACAACAACGTTCTCACTTCGCGCCCGGTGTCGCCGGGCATGCGAGCCGAGCAAGAATGGTGTTGTCTTCTAGCCTGGTCACATGGAAGTAAGCTCCTAGCTAGCACAAGTTGCAGTACCACAGATCAGGCTGTCAAGATTGGAGTGAGGTCAGATCAAGGATTCCCTAGGCACAGAGTGGTTCTCCAGATCTTGACATCTGGTCTATCTACGGGGAGCCGATGGAGCTAATAGTGCAAGGCTGGCATGAACTAGGAGATGGTATACCGCTTGATGGATGAGACTATAGAACTGGATACGCAAACTTTGGATTTGACAGACTCGAAAATGGATGGAATGAGGTGGTTGATACGCGTTGCAATTGCCCGGTTGATGAAGTTATACGAGCCACTGGTCTCTTGAGTACCTCCATATAACGATAAGCATAAAGAGAGTATGGAAGCTACAGGCACGGAAACGCGATGAAAGTGAGCCGAAGAGAGGGGTAAAGGATGAAGATCGGTCAATAGTCCCAATTGAGTTGATCAAAGTCTGTGTTGTGTGGAAATTAATTGATGGTCAGGGTGCGCTGTAACACCCCGGATTGGTCTGGCCAGATTGCTGCACAGGCCACCGGGCACACCACTACAACCCGCGCAGGCGGCCGGGAACATGTAGCCCCGCTGAGCCTTCAGGCCGTTGGAAACGAGCGTGCCTGGCTAGATCAAAATCGTTCAGCTCGCTAAACTGTATTGATACGAATACAAACCCCAGATCCCTCGGAGTCGAACGACGGGTCGGTCGTGAAGCCGCTGAGTCGGGCGAGTTAGGTAGTGATATCTCGGGATGAGCCAGATGAGCTCCCTGTAAGTGGTAAGAATGTTGGATGAGATACATTTGGGCGCTATTCAGATCAGATGTGTCGATTCTGCCTGAAAGTGAAGTATCCGCATCGGTCCTTCGTTCAGATAAATATAACCTGTTGACATCGTTCGGGGTCCGTGGAGAAGTTGACCGCAGTTTCCACCTCGCAACATGGCAGGATCTCGATGCGGTGACAGGCGATGATCAACATTGATTTTATCCGGGCGATTGATATGGGCTGTCTCCGCTGTACGCAACGACTTAGACTCAAACGGCGGGCAACGGTTCTCTAGAACTTGGAAGAAAACCTGCCGCAACGGAGGCCAGAGAGTGCTAGGGCTCCGGAGACCTTTGGGGTGTGAGTGTGACCTCTTGAACGTGTCCCCTGCACCCCGCGAGAATCTGACCTGTGCAGGAAACCTGGAGGAACCCTGTCTTGCCCTGGCACATCTTCCAAAACCCAGTCGTGCCAGTATAAGGTAGCTGAGCAGCATTGTAGGTAAATGTTATGACACTGACCTCGATTGACCTAGACGGGAGACCTGAAGTTTATTTGTGCTTCAGGGCAGATCTGAGGGGTCGCCTTCTAGTGTTTCGAGATGTTGGTCATCGTCCAGTGTTTATGTCTGAGAGCGTGACCCTCAGACGAACTGTGGCTAAAAATGGAGCCTTCATCCGATGGGCGATCCGTCCGGTGTTCTCAACGGCGGCGGGCAGGTGGCTCTTGGATGTTTCTGTAAAAAAAAAAAAAACATTCCTTCGACTTGTGTCCTCGGTCAGATGGGAAGGATGTTATTGTATGGTGCATCACTGACAAGTGGCAACTGACTAGAACGGACAAGAAGCTGCATGCCACACTTGCCTTGAGGTAGGTACTGCGAAAGGTAAGAGACGCACCATGGCAGCAAAGGAAATCGACGGACAAGAAAAAAGGAATGCGCTTTCAGATCCCGATAGCTCGTCATTGCCAGACTTGGCATTCAATTCGAGCCCCTGACCTTGAGTCGGCTGCGGCATATTTTGCCGGTTCGTAAACTGTAAACTACCTTACTGCCCAGATTGCCCAGATGAAGTCGAAGTTGGAACCCGCAGGGCCCGAACGCCTTGCACGATTCTCCAGGAAAAGGAAGGTACGGAGTGTCCGTACTTCAGAATTGAAGTTGAGGTCTGCAATAGCGGCCAGCTCCTCTTGCCCAAACAGGTTGGCTACTTTTGAGTATCCCATCGGCTAGGCCAATCAAATCTCTTAAATACACAAGTTCTCTGAGATTGTCTTGTTGCTGCTTTAGGTAGAATTTCCGTTCACCATTGTCCCAGACTCCAAGCCCCCAACATCTCCAGTTTGATCTCCCCTCTCCTCTCTTCTACCACCTATCATAGCCCTTGCAAATCCATGACAAAGGCAGCTTTTCATGGAACGGAGTACGGGAACGATAGCGAATTTACGGATACATCTCCTCCATCGTACATCCCGGGGCATGCGGCATAGCTGGCAACCACGACGTCGAAGCCAGCCATAACTTCTCGTCTATGAAGACACCTCCGTGCAATGCAGACAATTGTCTCATCGAAAGTTTCACGCCGTGCGAACGGACAAAGCTCGTGGCTTGCTGCCCGCCTGAGAACAGCCAACTGGCATGCGAATTCAACGTTGGACAGGCTCTCCGTGGCTTGAGCATGTTCGTCCATCGGAAAAGACGCAAGCCACAGCTTTCGATACAGCCCCGTCAGCAGCCCCGAAAGACGTTCTACGGAAGAAGATTCGCTGCTGGACTCTCATAGTAGTTCCGACTACTTTATTTTTGTCGCTGTGGGATCAGGCCGTCAGCTGGGAGTCTGGAACAGTAAACCTGTCGCTGTCTCCACATCCGACGCGGGCATTGTCAACTTGGGCGTTGCATGGTACCTGCATTAGCGCGAGGTTTTGTTCCTGAATCCTGACTTGATTCGCACACTGCTTGACACTGGTAGGTCAGCCGTCAGCACCGGCTGCCGCGGCCACAGGTGAGTTGGCAAACACGTCTGAATGCGTGCCGCGTCCACTCAGCGAAGGCGGAGATGTCGGCAGGGGCCTGATAGAACGTCTGACAGTCAAATCAAAGATACGACTGTCACTGGCAATGCTGGCCGACGGATGGCGGCCTGGAATTTCGGATCACGGCTGCGCTGCGCATCAAGCAAAAACTCCCCCGCCTTTGAGCAGGCATCTCTGCCCAGAAACGGCTGGCCAGTGCTATTGGATCTGCCAGCATGACGGGAAAGAGCGATGCGTACGTGTACGGGTATTCGCGCGTCGACGGAGTACTGCCAGCTCGCTGCCCAGATGCTGGTCGACGGTTGGCCGACCCGCTGAAATTGCTCAAGCTTACCTTGAGTCCTTGACTCTGTTTCCTGAGGTGGGCTCGAGTCATCTCATCTCGCTCGTCCGAACTCCTTGCAGATTCGGAGCGATTAAGAGGGCCGCGACCAGAGTCGAGGACTGATTCCCACGCAAGGAGTTTTCAAAGGGTGCTTCCGAGCGACAGTGTGAAGCAAAACACAGACGATCAACGAACGATCTGATGAAGCAAAGCAAGCGCTTGCTGGTCAATCACCTCGTGGCTCTATTCGTACTCTATCTTGCTACACCCAATAATACCCGGATCTAAGTGGTCATCTGGGTCCGAGTGGGTCAAAAGGTAAATGATTCCCACACCTCAATTCCCGCGCTCCAAGGTCGGTCCCCTTTGTGTGCATATTCTTCCCATCCTCTTTCACACCCCCCTTTGATTTCATCCCATTTTGGAGGGTACGTACTCCAAGCATCAACTTCTAGCCCAGTCTTTTCGACTTCTCTTTTGCTTTTCCCGTCTTCTCTGCGCAACCACACCACCAAACTTGTCAATCCTATTTTCCCGCCCCCCTCTCGGCCAAAGGGGAGTAGCCGCTTCGTCTGCCTGGCCAATTCTGGACTGCCAAAGCCACCAGCAGCAAACGTAGGAAGCGCAAGAAAAAAACACGCACAAGCACATACACCACACCTGGTCTACCCCCTTTCTCGTCCGTCCACACAAGTCATCCACAATGGTCTTTTCTTCGTGTTTACTCCCCTCGTTACCAAGAACCCGTTCGTCTAGCCCACTTCTGATTCGTTCCAAGTGAAATAAGCTGGTCAGTGAATAGCGAAAGAAAACAGAAACCAGCCTCCCTTGTTCAGCCATGGATCGTGTCCATCTTAGCAGGGGTCTGGAGGAAAGGCGGCGTGTGCTCTCTTTCGCCCTCCCAGTCCAGCTCCTCTTCTCATCTCCAGGCCTAGGAGATGCGCTGCTCCACCCTTCATGACCGGGCGAAGGTACCGTCGTCCCTGACCCATCCCATTACCTTACCGCAAGGCAGGGCCCCAAGGTAGTGTAGCACAGGCACTAAGGTAGAGAGCCCAGTCAGTGTCCACTGCCCCCAGTTCCCATGTCGTGTTCCATTGCGCCCATCTCTGTATATAAGTTCATTTCCTCCAGGCCATCCCGTCTCCCGTTTCCCTTTCCCTCCTCACCCACACTCACTCATTCAGTACCGACCCAGACTTTTTAGTCGCTTTCACTCGTTAACCCAACCACCTAATCCTCAACTCGCATCTACAACTCTTTCGAGTCTTAATACCAAGTTCTCCTCCCCAAACAACCGTCAAAATGAAGTTCTCCGCTGCCGCCCTTGTCCTCGCCGCCACCGGCGCCATGGCCAACAAGAACGTCACCTACGTCACTGAGGTCGTCTCTGCCTACACCACCTACTGCCCTGGTCCCACTGTCATCTCCCACGCTGACAAGACCTACACCATCACCAAGGTACGTCGAATCCGGGAGGTGGACGGGAGGATCTCAGAGTGTCTCGGCGCTCGCCGGCCAAGCGCCGGCTTCTATGCCCACATAGACTCGGAGATGGCCCGACCTTTCACCTCCAAAAACATGTCGATCTCGACCCCAAGCTAACAACATTCCAGGCCACCACCCTGACCATCACTGACTGCCCCTGCACTGTCACCAAGCCCGTCCTCACCTCCTCCATCGTCAAGTGCGAGAACTGCGCCGCCCCCACCAAGAACGGCACCATCCCCGTCGCTACTCCCGCCCTCAGCAAGACCACCGTCGCCGGCACCGCCGCCATTACCCCCACCAAGCCCGTCTCCGTCCCTACCGCCGGTGCTGGCAAGGCCGCTGCCCTCTCTGGCGCCGGTCTGGCCGGTGTCCTCGGATTCGCTGCTTTCGTCCTCTAAATCAATATTCACGTCTCGCCATCCACGTCTCCCCCTACGATCTTTGACGTACGATAATATTTTAATTTTCGTGGGGAGCCTACGACACCTAATGACTGGAGCGCGGTTGTGAACCCATCCGATACGCAATCGACTTGATGGGTACTTTTTTTGGATGGGAGTTTTGGGAGTCTCCTTGGATAGGGAGAGCTTGGGAATGGATCCCAAAAAACGACGGAGAAAGGAAACGACACGCCCACAGAATACCCGGTACATTTTCTTGCCTGCATGGCGCCATGGAGTTTTCAACCACGGGAACGTCCAAGCCATGCAGTAAACTCACACCTGTCAATACTGCAACTTCTTGTACTTGCTTTGCAAACAAACCTTCGCCCCAACAACGGTTTTTTATGGCTCGGTATTTCCGTCAAATCGCCAATTGAGGATTATATCCGTGTGTGTGTGCGGTACATACCATCCTCTTTTTCTTCATTTTCGAGAGGCTTAGAAAATGGGAATATAATGCGACCATGATAGGTTATTCTTCAACTGTCTCGTCTTTACTCGCGGCAGAGTAACCTGTTTGACCCAATTCACATCATATTCTCCTCTCGCCTGACGACTGAATACTCATTCTCATGTGTATCACGCCCTACTGCCAAAACGAACTGCCGTGTAATGTGTATGAGTCCAACTGTCCAAATGTGCTGTTGCTAGCCCATCACTCCGACGTGACGTCAAGTGAATGGATGATTTCATAATTGTAGGGAGCTTGACTATATCGGAGAATTTCTTAAGCTATGCCCGCTTGCCCTGGGGATGATACGACATTGCTGTAAGCATTCGGACCTCTGTCCGTTCAAGAAGTTCCTCGCAGGTTAGTATCCCGAAGAAGCAGAATTACACAAGCGGTCTCCGGGATCCGGAACTCCATGTACGTCTAGTCTACTTCAGGCGAGCAAGAGCATTATCACATTATCGGAAACTCGGTGACTCTTTGTTTGGGGAATAACAAAAAGGCTGTGACGACGAAAATAGGTTCAAGACAACCAAGGACGCCGGAATGGAAATAGTCTAGCAATAGCGCGGAGCTTGATGTGAGGTCCCCCCCCCCCCCCTCGACTCCCCGAGGTTTGACGGATACGGATTCCGGTGAGAGTGAAGGATGTATTTCGAAGATGAACTGACGGAGAGAGAAGAGGGGAACACATCGGCCTCATTTCGCTAAAGGATGGACAAGGCCATTCACCTTCGAAAGATCCTCTGCGTGGAGGAGGATTCTTGAGTGTTTATCTTGGAAAGAGGGCGCAGTCCCGCATGCCTAGCACTCCTAGGTACTGGGCGCCTCTGCTTGGGTCTTGGGATTTCTTCCACACCCCTTTTCTACGCCGCAGCCGTGCCGCATTCCTCGTGCCTAGAGCGCATACGAGGTACAAACCTTTCTCTCTTCGGTGAGTGTCTTGGGAGAGACGCGGCATTCCAGCCAAGAGGAGGGGGGGCGACGTAATTGTCTCTTGGTGAATAGAGGTCTGAGGAGGAGCTGAGCGCTGCAGCCCGCCTGACAGACCGCTATCCCGAGGCTGAGATTTACTATCGTTGCATCCAGATCGATTAAGGTTGTTTTGTTTTGGTGGTGTATTTTTTGTTTACCTTGTTAAGGAGAAGAACCTTATGGGAAATAGGGGGTGTTCGGGGGGTACGGAGTACAGGCGTGGCGCCGCGCTGTACCTGCGTCTGGGCGCTACTGCAGCGGTGAAAGGTACAACCGGATTGGACGGGACGAACATGCTGTGATGGATCATGGAGGTGTGGGTCTTTGTTGCTGAGCTGGAAATGGAAACATATCGTTAGTACGGATACTCGTGAGTCGTACCTAGTGCAGCTGGTAATTCCAGGTGCATGGTTTTGGCTATGCCATTCCAGATCACAATGAGAAAAACGGTGAGCTGGAAAGAAAGGGTTGGGAATGTGGGCGATGCTTATTTTCCAAACACAACGCATTGTAGGAGGAATGTGAGATTTCAACCTACCTACCTACCTTAGGTGAAGAGTACGGCGTACCCCCTACTAGACTATTGTCCTAGAGTGGTATTCCTCTAACGGGGTTGTCAACGATCTCCATATGTGCACCTAAGCGGTGTTGCAAACACGGACGTAAGCGAGATTAACAACCCAACTGGGCCACTCTGCGCTGATCGCCATCAATCGAATTTCCACGAATGCATTAGAGCACACGGATTGTCGCCCAGGATACTTCGGAATAAATGAGGCATAAATGCTAGAAGCATCACGGATGCGGATGACATTTCATAGGGCGACAGGGTTATAGACAGTTGTCACTTGCTTGACGCCTGTCAGTCGAAGCTTGGCGCTGGGGAAGGGAATCTTCATGGGTAACCCTCCCCAAGGGCCGGGGGGCTTTTGGGTTCGTTTCTCTGGCTGCCCACCTTCAAGCTTGCGCACGGATACGCGACGTGAGAGAGAGTCTTGTTATACTCGCTCGACCTGTGGGTGATCTTATCGGATCCTGGAGGGCGTGGAGATCGTTGAACCCGGTGGAAGCCGGCTGGGCCGGAGCGGTTGGTCATGTCGTGCCGCTTGAAGCGGTGGCTCTCGCTTTCTGCCGCGGGACTTTATCAGGCATGCTGAATACTCTCAGGTTTGCGAGTAATCGCCTGTCCGGACAAGTTTCTGGAGCGATCGAGGTGGAATTTCAACAGTGTACCGAGATAGTAAGATGAGGGCTTCGGGGAGCGTCGGTGTGTCTCACTCTGCTCTGTTATAATCAGACTGGCTGCTAAAGGCTTCGCATCTTTACTCCTTCCCATCACCTAGGTAGGTAATTAGGAATAGGAAGCCTTGTTTGAATTGACCGCATTTCTGTAGTTTAGTTGCTGCAACCGCAATGGTACTGGAAATGGTCTACTTCACATTTACACTCAACTTCGGGCCACTTCCGGGAGTTTACACTTTGGTGATCTTGACTGCGCAGACAAACAAGCGCGACACGGGACGGATGGGTCTTGCGGGGAGCCGGGTGGGACCATCGCCCGTCTCTGGGGAAATAGTCCCCAGGTACTTCACCACCAGCATCTTGAAGGAGAATTGACGAAGCAGGCGCTCACTTATAAAGCGTTTACTTGCTGCATAGTGAGACTGGACAAGTATTTAACGGAACTATCAGAGAAGCCAATCTCCAATGATTTTGATTGATGCCTTTTTCTTTCTCGAGAGTGAGAGCTTCGTTAGGTCTGACTGTGTAAGGTCTGGCTGCGTTAGGCACTTATCAATCGTCTCTCAAGGCCTGTAAGACAATTGTTCAACCCCCAACGAAGATAAAGTAAGGTCTGCAAGCTGTCATCTGTGAGCTACAAGCGAAAATAAGCAATCGGACGAAGATCGAACCCCGTGGGGTCCCCGGCCGATGGAAGAAGCCAAGGTCGGTTGGCGATGTCGGCGTGGTCGGCAATGACGGTCGCTCCCCTTACCCCGGGTCAACGGAATGCGGGGAAGGGTGCCTCCTCAATGGCAACCCCAGGTCAAGCCAGCCAACGCACCAAGGTCCAAGGGGAAAGAGGGCACGTCAGCTGCTGCTACAAGGGTAGAGCTGTCACGTATCTCAACGCCGTCCCAACCTCCAAACTTCCAGCCGTCCGACTGTTTGAGAGCGAGCCGAAGCCGAGAAGACTCATATAGTCCCCACGGGCAATGCTTCTATAGTTTTGATGCTAATTCGGACCTCTTTCATCTTTCTGTTGTAATCTCATCAGCGCTTATTGTCTCATTTCTTCACAGCCAATTGAATTTACCACCCCTTCGGGAACGCCAGACAGCAAGCCACTGTAAATATGGACAACTTACACCCTCAAGACGAGGTCTTGCGTCATTCCCTCGAGGATCCGGAATCTTTTTGGGCTCACCAGGCCGAACACCTGCACTGGCACAAGAAGCCTTCTTCAACACTCAAAGTCACCAAGAAGACGCTCAAGAGCGGCGTCACCCATGACTCTTGGGAGTGGTTTCCGGACGGAGAAATCTCCACCTGTTTCAACTGTGTAGACCGCCACGTTCACGATGGCAGGGGTGATGCGCCGGCAATATACTATGACAGTCCCGTCACGAATACCAAGCAGACCCTCACATACAAGCAGCTACTCGACGAAGTTGAGGCCTTTGCCGGGGCGCTAAGGGAAGAGGGAGTGAAAAAGGGCGACGTCGTCTTGGTTTATAGTAAGTATTCTTCTCATTGTCGGATAGCAAGTCTTCCGATCCAAAACTTACACTACTGTTAGTGCCCATGATTCCCGCGGCATTGATAGGCATACTCGCCGTCAGTCGCCTAGGTGCCATCCACGCCGTCGTATTCGGCGGGTTCGCACCGGCCGCTCTCGCCCAACGTATAGAGGCCTCTCAACCCGTGGCTATCCTGACGGCTTCATGTGGTATCGACGGTAACAAGCCGCCCATGAGCTACAAGCCGCTCGTGGAGGAGGCTTGCCAGATCTCCAAGCACAAACCCGACAAGGTGGTTGTATGGCAGCGCGAGCAGATCTGGTGGAACCCCATCAAGAGGAACGACGGCGAGAGGAACTGGCAGAGCATTGTCAAGAGCTGTCGTGCGAGAGGCGTCAGGGCCGATTGCGTGCCTGTGAAGTCAACGGACCCGATCTACATCATCCACACATCTGGTACGACGGGAACGCCAAAAGGCGTGTTGAGGGATGCTGCTGGACACGCTGTCGGGCTGCATCTTTCTATCAGCTACTTGTTCAACATTCACGGCCCCGGATATGTTTCGTTCACAGCGTCAGATATTGGATGGGTACGTTTTGTCAAGCTCTCACGGGGCTGGGTCAGATTCTAATGTTAAGTGGTATAGGTCGTAGGGCACAGCTACATCGCATACGCCCCCCTCTTCACGGGTGCCGCCACCGTCCTCTACGAGGGCAAACCCGTCGGCACACCAGATGCTTCAGCCTTTTGGCGCATCGTGGAAGAGTACAAGGTCAACACCATGTTCACGGCGCCGACGGCTCTCCGCGCCATCAAGCGCGATGACCCCGAGAACAAGCTCTTCAAGCAGATCGGAGAGCGTGGCGGCCTCCGGACGCTCAAGGGGCTCTTCCTGGCGGGCGAACGGTCCGAACCGGCAATCATCACAATGTACCAGGAGCTCCTTGAAACCTACGGCGCGGTCGACGCCCACGTTGTCGACAACTGGTGGTCAACGGAAGCCGGGTCGCCCATCACGGGGCGGGCTCTCGTGCCGCATGCCGGGAAAGACCGCGGTACGGATGTGCGTGGCCATCCGCCTCCCAAGATCAAGCCGGGCAGCGCCGGCAAAGCCATGCCTGGCTTCGACGTCCGCATCGTGGACGATGACGGTAAGGAACTGCCGAGGGGCACGATGGGAAACATCGTCCTCGGGTTGCCTCTTGCCCCGACTGCTTTCAGAACCCTGTGGCAAGATGAGGAGCGGTTTTACAAAGGCTATCTGAAGCGTTTCAATGGCAAGTGGTTGGATACAGGGGATGCAGGCTACATCGACGTCGAGGGTTACGTCAACGTCATGTCCCGTAACGACGACGTACTCAATGTCAGCGCTCATCGTTTGTCAAGTGGTAAGCATCGTCCTCGTCCTCATCCTTGGAAGTTCTTTTCCATGCCAAATAGAAAGCCCCCGAAGCTAACAACAAGATAAAACAGGCGGCCTCGAACAAGCCATCACATCCCACCCCCTCGTCGCGGAAGCCTGCGTGGTGGGCATCCCGGACGCGCTCAAGGGCCAGCTCCCCTTCGCCTTCATCACGCTCTCGACGCCCGAGCACCCGACCTCGGCGGTGCCCGACGCGAAGCTCGCCGACGAGATCAACGCGCTCGTGCGGTCGCAGGTCGGCGCCATCGCCACGCTGGGCGGGCTCATCCAGGGCAAGGGGATGATTCCCAAGACGCGCAGCGGCAAGACGCTGCGCCGCGTCCTGAGGGAGCTGTTGGAGAACGCGGTGCACGAGGAGTTTGAGAAGGAGGTCCAGGCGCCGAGTACGGTCGAGGATGCTGGCGCGGTGGATGTTGCGAGGGAGAAGGTGAGGGAGTATTGGGAGGTGAGGGGGGATGGACATAAGAGTACGGAGGCTAGAGCGAAGTTGTAGATATCGCATTTTGCTACCAGTCGAACGGCAGAGAATCCTCTGCCAAACGTGTCATCGCCGGTTCGTAAATGTGCTTTGTTGTTGAAGATCACAGATCAAGACATTCTACTGACCAAGATAAGGTAGTACAATCACAACCGTTGCGACTGATATCATGTGCTCCAGTGACAAGCCGGAGTGATCAACAAGCGTATGTGATATCTTTATTCTGAGATACTGAGTAATGAGAATATGACCGCCTTATTACTAAGTATCCGATTTCGGTGGATATGTATTGAAACTGGTGAGGAAGGATGTCAACGCACTGCGCTGGATCTGTTTCCGTCATGATCCGAATCCGTCAAAGAACCTAGAACGTCTTGATTACGAACAATACAAATCACCATCGTTCACTAGTGCTGTCAAGAGCTGTCCAGCTTATCAGGAAAACATATGTAGATGTTTTGCTAATTAAGGAGAAACTCAGTCTGCTCGATCTCGATGGCTTAAAAGATATCATCTTCTTGATAAGATTTTAATCTCTCTGAATAGTTTTCGGGAATCCAGTCATTTGTCTTTATTCTGAAGCTATGTACAGGGAACTGGGATGAGGAGGTATGAGGGGTTGTCATGAAAGACTGCAGCACGCTGCTGGCCGACCCCTTGAAGCTTCCGTCATTGCCTCGTCATGGTTGGAATCCGCCGTAGACGTGAGCCTCGTAGCCAGCCATACATCGAACTCAACAGTGTCAACACGTTCGTCTCGCTTTCCTTGGTAGCTGCTAGGTAGCTATGTCGGGACATTCGACCCTGACCGCCGGACACTGAGCTCCTATGGTCTGGACTCGCCTAACTAAACTAAGGACACTGAGCCAGGAAAGCCTAGGCCGACCACCATCTTTCCCCTGAAGCGATTACCACCGACGACGACGACCATCGTGCGACATGAAGGCGTCGTTTCAAAGCGACGCGCGCCCGCAGGATGGATGGTACGACGAAAGTTGAGAGCCCGCCGTCCCGTATTCACGATCTCCTCGGTCACGCCCTTCCGCCCTAGGCCTCGTCATGGTCAGCTTGTGTGACGAAAAGAGAGCGTAAGGTCGTTCCTCCAGGACCATTGAAATTCAAATGTATACGATCCCATGGCGGGAAGACGAGGCTCGAAGGAAAACCTGATACCCGTACCGAGTCACGGCCGTCGTACCATGTTTGCTCACGGGCCGTCGAACGTGTAACCGTGTTCGAAGCTGAGCGGCTGTTTCTCATCTCCGTCCAGGGATAGGTTCTTCGGGAATGGCGGTTCGGGTTCCGGTGAAATGAGAGACGCGGGGCATCACCTACGGAAGTTCGACTGAGAGGACAGAACGGGATAGGCATGGATCGGATATTTACGAGCGATACGGTAATGGTGATTATGAAGTTTCAAATGGACTAGTCAACTAGAATAATTCCCAACCAACGCCTTGTATGCCGAATCACAGCATGCCCCCCCAATGTATTCCTGGTATCGTTGTGCCTCCAGTGACTCATCAATGCAATAGGTGAAAACTGTTCGCGTTCGCCGACGTCGACAATGCTCCATGAACTAACCAGATCAACTTGCCGACCCAGCAGGGGACTCCTTGGAGGCCTGCTTCCCGTACATTCCATACAGACTTCGTTGGCCCTCTCTCGCAACTTTCAGAGGAGCGAAGCGTGCTTCGGGCAATCGACTTCCCGCCTTGAGACTCTCCATTACCCTGCGCAAGTATTAGCACCTGCTGGTTCATACGAGCAGGCGAGATAGGGAGACAAAGGAAGAACGAACCATTCGACGCCAACATATTTGACGGCAGACCCGCCGATCCTGCGAATTTCCTTTTCAAGTTTGCCGCCCGCGAGTCCTCCGCCGGCTCCAGCGCCTACGCCGGCCGGTCTCCCGACAATGACATGCGTAACCTGCCTCCGTCCGAGATGTATAGACATGCGCGCACCGTTCTCGACCAAGACGCGCTTGAGTTTGTGATCCGAGATGATGGGATGCGTGCTCCCGTTGACGTACACCGTGACGCCCTCGAACAATCCCCTACCAGCCGCCCTCGTCGCCTCAACATCCTCGTCCTCCTTCCGCCGAGCTTCCATGACCTCCTCTTCGCTCATCCTCGCCAACCCTCCCGACGCTGCAGCAGACGTGCTAGATGTCGCGGATCCGGTCTCGGAGACTGAAGAGCCGCTCCTCATCAGCCCCGGCCGCACCAGCATGTCTGCCACGCTCATCTTCGCCCTCGCCTTGACGTCCTTGGGCACCACCATCTTCAGCTTCTCGTCAAAGTCCTCGCTCCCGGCGCCATACGTGTCACTCATGCGGGCACCGCCAGTGTGACCGCCCGCAAACTGCTCCGAGAGCTTGCGGGCGCGGCTGTTCCGCCATCCTGTGCCTGGGACGTGATCCGGGCGTTGATGTCCGGTGGCGCTTGAGTTGTATGGATCGAAGTTGTTGCCGAACCGCGGCTTTGCGGCTGGTGGAATAGGTGTCTTCTCTGGCGAAGGCATATCGGTTCTGACACACGTGATTATTGTGGTGCAATAATGTTTCTTTTTCTTTTCTCTTCTGCCCTTCTTGCTTTGCTAGCATGATAGACGTACCAAACGACGCTGCAATGCGAGGCACATGCGCGTTGGGCATGCAATGTCGTTTAGGTCCACACAACAGGAACGTAGGGTCATAATGCTGGATTTTGCCTCTAGTGTCTCCATAAGCAAACAAAGGGGTTATTTTCTGTCGTCAACGATACGCGAATCACGCGGCGCCGCAGGCTAGAGAGTCCCAAGCGCATTTACATCCAAGGTCGATCCAGGCACGTACCGGTCGCGGGGTCACATGATCTTTGTCTCACCGAAAGCCACCGACACCCACCTCGGTCACCTTGGAGGTTTTCGTGTTAGTCATCTGTCACTTACACCTAAACTCAAATCACATCTCATCGAAGCTACATGACGGGAAGGTGTAGAGACAGAGACATGCAGTCAAAGCTTCCCGAGTAAGGCGAAGCTAACTCAAGTGCCGTTCCTGGACCGAGAGACGTCAATGCCAGCTGCTCCGCCTGCCATACAGGCAAATGCAGGAGCTGCAGCAGCGTCGGCGCACCGATGTTTCCCCAGCTTGAATCCCGTCATTCCTCAAATCCCAGAAAGAATGCATGTGCACGTCAGAGTCCCCTTGGAACCTTCTTGTTGCAAGAAAGACCGAACGCTTCGAACCTCAGGGGACCTTTCACCTCACCTTCAACCTCTCAATCTCCTGCAGGTACCGACATCAGGCCTAAACACCGGATCAGACACACCTGGGCACACCCTCTTTGCTCTTCGCCCTCCCCCAAAACAAGCGACATGTTTCCTTTGCCCACGAGGTTACCCACGAGCCTACGGAGCTGAAATTCGGGACGGTCTGAGTGGAAAAGAGGCTGTGAAGAAGGTCATACCTTGCACTATGTTGGAATGATGGGCTGCAGAGGCCCAATCACTCCTCGGCGCCTCTATCTGACGGCTTTCGGAACGCTCAGTCAGGGGACCATATTGGAGTCTGGGCTCGGCAGATGCGAGTGCGAAATTCAGTTTCTGGACCTTTTTGTCCTTGCTTACAACTACGAATATGCTGTCGCCGTTATCTACTCGTGGACGAAGTCTCTGACCCGGATGCCGCTCACTTCACACCCCCTTCAATATCCGGTTCAACAGAAGGCTATTTCTATCTTATTGTGGAAATGATATTGAGGACTCCGCAGACGTATTGGGTACATACGCCCAAAGAAGACGACATCAGACTTCGACCCTTTGGATCGCCAAACCATATCACCGGGGGCCCTTGGTGCGGCGAAAATTAAAGCCATCCAATCGGCCTAGGACATTGATCGCAGTGGCAGCGCATCCCCCACAGACGCCAGTCATGCACATCACGACCAGTCATCGGTCGAAGGTTGCACCTTAAACGGGAGAAAAAGCTTGCACAGCCGATGTTGGCTGCTTCACATTTGCGCCGTAGCTCCCCCCATACTCCCACATCCGGCGGAGGAGCCAGAGAGGCGACAAGAAACAAGAAGGCGAGAGAGAAAAGCTTGGTATCCAAGCTCCCTCGAAGAAAGGTGCACCTAGCTTCGGGTCTCGAATTGACTTGCATCGCCAAACCTGCCGCGCGGCGGGAGGCGGGAAACACCAAACGAAAGAGCCGTCTCATGCGCCCCGGACCTGGCATGGCACACTTTCCAGCTTCGGGGACTCCCATGTCTGCCATATATGCCTTTACCATGAGGCCACTACACGCACATGCGCCTGCATTTGCCAATCGACACCAAGAGAATGCAGCTTCCAGGCCCGCTAACCTTCTCTTTCCTCGTCCTCTTCCGACGTTGTCCAGGTCGACCCTTGGAAAGGCGAAGAAAAGAGAAGCCAGGCGGTGCTCCGTCACATGTATAACACACCCATCTTATCATGCCGTACCAGCAGTTCATGCACGATGCCCGCTGCACCGCTGCGCACAGCACTGCGGATACCACTACCTTACCTTACAACCTACTTTCCGAGCCTCCTCTCTTCCCGCCGCCGTGTTTCGCGGCTAGCCTTGGGCGGGCGGGACAGGGCTGGAGCGAGGTGAGGGAGCATCGATGCGATGCGCCGGGCCCTGCCATGGCGGCAAGGCCTGGCCTGCCGTCTCTCCTGCATCAAACCACCAACATGCCATTTAGTGAAAACTCTGAGAAATGACAAGACGACGACGACAAGTCGCAAATGTCCCCCCGGAAAAGAAAGCTGGAGTCGCAAAGACGGATGCCGAGGCTTGCATATTCTGCGCACGCTATACTTGCTGCATTCTTCAACGCTTCGCTGCGCGATGATGCACCGCTCTCTTTCTACTACGTAATCATACCTCGGGCAACCGACTACTTCAACGGTCGACCTCGTCATGTCGGAATAAAGGCAAGACAAGACAAGTCACGACACAACGAGACGAGACAGCCTGGTCATACCAGCCATTGCAGGGAGGCCACTGGTGCCGGGGTACCCACGAGGAAGCAAGACAGTCTGCGTAGCGAGGTAATCAAAAAAAGTCAATCTCGCACCGCCGAGCCCCAAGCTCCCTTTTCCAGCCCGTCTCTCATGTGATATCAATCAGGGACGTCAGGGACGAGCACAGGGGTCGTGAAGGAGGGGGCGAACCGTTTCAAGCGTTCAAGTTCTATCCTGACTTGACGATTCATCCGGTGTTCAATGTCCAACATGACAGCGCCACTCACAGGTGGACGGCAAGGAGACACAGAGTCTGGCGCGAGAGAGAGGCATAGAGGATATCAGCTCGAGCGCGCAAAAAAGGTCAAAGGTCCACGTCACGCTCGCTTGACCCCGTCCCTGACAGTTACATGATCTGCCCAGCATGCGCCTGCTTGCTGCGGCCCAGGTGCGCAAGAGCCATTTCACGACACCTGCTCTGTTTCCTGAGGGGGCATCCTCCGTGAGCGAGGACGAGGTTCCCAACACTCCGTACGGATACAGACTCCGTAGTCCGTAGCGCACTCCTAGGCCGCTTGGAAGAGCGAGCGAGCGAGAGTTTCCAGGGCTCCTCTGTGATCCGTGATCTCGCCGCCGCCACCCCATGTTTGAGCAGCATGCATACCCGTACGCGCATGCAGGCAATCGTACCCTTTCGCTTTCCGGGGGTGGGAGGGGGGAGGGTGAGGAAGCCTGCTGCGGTGTTTTGCTTGCTGTACCTTGCCTTGCCTTGCTTGCCCTGCAAATCAAGACCTTCGGAAGACCTATCTACCTTCCTCGCCTGGCCAAGTCGAGACTGGTCTGTTTACATCTACCTGGCGAATCCTATCCGCCTTCGCTTCGCCTCGCGCGGCCGACCCGGGTCGTGACAAGCGGACGCGACGAGCGAGCGGGGGAAGGGATTGTCTCCTCTCTCTCCTCTTCCCGAATCTCGACGAGAAAGTGGGTATCCTCGAAGGAAAAAAAAAAGAGGCCGGCTAGAACCGATCCCGACATCGCCAATAATTGGATTTGGTGCTGTCATTGTTATTGTACGATTCTGCCACCTTCCTGGCTCACACCGGTCGTGTCCCAGACAGAAAGGTTGTGTGTCTCGTCTCGGGAGCTAAATCAGGATAGAGAGAGGTTGAGTGGTAGGGGGAGAGGGAAGGACGGCGCGCGTCAGAACATTATACCTCACACCCTCCCGTCCCGGCAAAGAGACAGACGGCGACACACAGAGAGAGAGAAAGGCACAAAAAAGACGCACTGATGGCGGAGAGTGAGGTGCCAGAGTGGATGGATGGCTGGGAAGAGGCTTGCTTGGTCTTGGACTGGCGCCCGTCTACCGCTTCTTTACGGTCCACGGATACGTACTCGGGTACCGGGGGGGACCCTCCTGTCTCTCTCTCTCTCTCTCACTCCCAAAAAGACGTGCGCGGCACACAACGCAAACAAGGGAAGGAGGGCGGCTGTCAGAAGTCTAACTACGCCGAGGTTATCATTGTGTTTTTAGTTTAGTTTAGTTTGCATTTTTTTTTTTTTTCGAGAGAGAGAGAGCGGCGAGCCGATCGAATGACCCAAAACGGTAGAGTATAGCCGTTCCATGTGGTCCCCGATGGGCAGAAAAATCTCTGTTGGACCAAAGTCAATCTTTGTGGACAAGGAAACCAGAGGCGGGTAAAGGGCAGGGAGAGAGAAGGGGGGGAGGCGGCACGGAGGAAAGGGAGGGAAGAACAAGAAGTTCGAGAAACAAAGGCGAAAAAAGTTATGCAACAAGGGGATTGTTCCCCAACAATGGACGGGACGACGTTGAAGACGAGACAAGAGAGAGACTTGGACATGTGGAAGAAAGGGCAGGAAAAAAAAAGAGAGACATTTCGTAACGTCGTCCTCTGTCTCTGTGTTCCTCGCTGTCTGTCACTATCTCCATACGTGGTATCCCAAGGCAAGGGCCGTTGCATTGCCTTGCCTTACAGATAGATACATGCTGCTGCTGCTGCTGCTGCTGCTGGATTGCCACCAACGGAGCCAGCAGCAGGCGACGGGACACACATTATGCGAAGCATACTTGCATCCAAGAGGGCAGATGGGTTGGAACCACCACCCAGTCTTGCTTGCCAGTCGTGCCAGTATCCGTATGCCACACACGAAACTTTGCTGCCGCCGCTGTTGTGATCAGTCTAAATCCGGGGGGCGCGTCTACGTTGCCCTTCCTCCTTTCTTTTCCCGTATGCAATGCCCATGCTTCTTGCTCCCCCCCCCGGCCACATGCTTGCTCAACGACTCTGAGACCTTTTTTTCCTAGCAGGAGAGCCTGGAGGAGTCGATGGAGAGTCGAAGATACGGTTGCATCGTGCGTATCGCAAGGACCAAGGCAGGTAGGTGATGGTGGTGGCAAAAGGGCTTCATCAAACAAGTGACAACGCCGCCTTCAAACTGTTGGACAATTCTGTACTTGTTTTTACAGCCTCTTCAGAAGTTCAGCTCTCGTCTAGAAACTAGACTATCCGTAGACTACCTAGCTCCCAGAGGCCCCAAGACGGGAGAACTCCAGAACTTTTTCCCTAGTTTACTTACTCTCTCCGCTTCGACGAGGATTGAAGACGCACTATTCTGTCATACTGCGGCATCTCCCTGCACGTACGGTAATCTCTTGTGATTTTTCTGTTTCTTTCCTTCTTGTTCCCGTTTTCCTCTCTTCA